CGTCAAAGGGCCACGTACTCCTCACAGGGCGGGATGCCTCCCGTGCTCCCCCGCCCCCAGGCCCTGATTGGCTTGGGGGTGTGGGAGCATGCCAACCCTCTTCCAGGGCATGGATGCATAGTGGGAAGGGGGGCAAGGATGCTCCCCCACCCCAGACCAATCAGTGGCCAGGGCTATTTCAAAAAATGTTTAAGTGGCCCCCAGGCAAAAATTATTGCCCACCCCCGGGTATAGTATCTACCCCTGGAGTTGGGTGCAGTTGCTTTTTTCCTCTTCTCATCCATAATCTTCACCAGAAACAATCCTAATGAGGGTAACCAAGTCTGTTGATTGTGGCACCAGTCCCTTTTGTTATTCATTCCTACAGACATTCAGTGGCATGCAGTCGGCAAGGATGATAGAAACATGCAGTCAAAATAATTTTATTTCCTTTTCTTTTATACAAAATACAATCATGTACAAAAATGTACACATAACATTTGTCAATCATTTTACGTTGAAAAGACACTATAGATTCAAATACATTTTGTTCACATAAATCATGTAAACATAGAACCGGGCCCACACTGGCTAAGATTTCATTATTTATTAAATATCTCATTTGCATGAGTCAGCTATGAAGTTGCTTTCACACAGAGAGTGAAGTCTGCCAAAGTGATTTCTCTAGCCATGCACCTGGCTTCTGAACTCCAAAATCAAATGTGTGTGCACACTGGCTCACACAATCATTTGTGTAAATATATGCCTCACTATGCATATACATACACACACAATAAAAGATGGTTCACCAATGCATGCAGAAGTCCACAAAGAGGCACAAGTGGGCACAAGGATCATTTGAACATACAAGTTGTAGCAAGCATTCAACACCGTGTCACACAGAACAGATAATATACGGGCTGGACAGAGTTTGACGTCCTGGATGCCATCTTGAATAGCTTGGATATGCAGATGTACAAGGCCAAGAACTTTTACAATTCTTTCAGCCAAGGACAAGACACTTCAAAAATACATCAGTGCAAGGCTAGCACAGTATATGGTTCCTTCATGGATAAAGCTAATGTGATAATCCCCTAAATCTCCTGTCCAAAAATAAAGAAGTAAATGATGCAATGATGGTTTCCCTAGGGAGAAATCTATTTTACCCAAAAGAATGCAACCCTTTGTCATCCTTTGTTTTTAGAACCGTCCTATAAAACATGTGGCTACAATGACCTCTTTTCCTTCGTGCTCTGATACCACATTCCAGGCTAATTTGCCCTCCAAAAATAACAGTCTGCAATATATGGAAGAATGAATAATAATGTTGGGTATACTTCCCATACATTTCCACCACAATCTGCTCTCAACCTTGGTGGAAAATGCAAGGTAACAGCAGAAGTAAATGGATTCTTGGTTGACTTAGCTGACAATTACAGCTTTTTGATGGGGGAAGAGGTAATACATATTTAGTTCTGCTTAGTTTTCCTCCTGGCTCCCAAAAAGAGAAATCGTGCACTGTCAGCTCGGGTATAGTAGGTGAAAACCTCGTCCTGCTGTGATCAATGGCAGAACTCCTATTAATTTCAGTGGGGTCAGGATTTCACCCCATAGATTTAAAAAATATTTTTAACTACGCTGATTCAAGGGAAGGTGGGTGATTTCTCCACCGCTCATGCATTCACCACTGAGATAGAATGAAACTGCTAATATCCCAGCTGAGTGAACGTAAATGCTCAGCAGAATAGGCGAATAGATTTGTTGCAAAGTGATTAAGACTCTCGTTCTGTTTGCATGCACTAGCATGCAGCTGCAAGGCTCAGTTTGCAAATGCTACCATAGGGATGTTTAAAATTAAATGGAAAATGGCTGAAATGAACTTTAAAAAAATTGCTCCAATATTAGGTTTTGAAAAGCCTGGATCATGTCATTTTACAGTCCTGGATCCTGGAAGTCGGTATTAGGCAGTTGCGGATGAAAGATGAAATTTCCAGTAGTGCCTAAGGATGTTAGACGACTTTCAGTGGGAGTTGGGTGCCTGTCTCCCTGAGGCTGCTTTGCAAAACACCCCCTAAATGCACAAACAGGACTTAAGTTGCCCTAGATATTTCCCCCCTTGCCTACCAAAATAGAGACCTATAGTTCAATAATGACTCCTAGTGGAAAAGCAAGAGGAACCACTCGATGTTATGCATTTAGCTGTACTGCAAAGATTTTGGCAGGAGGTGGACACAGTGTCAATGCACTTAAAAGGTTTTTTCTTGTTCTTGTTAGCCACGTCTAACAAGGATCCCAAGGTAGAGAATATTTCTAGAGCTAGTAATCTCTCCAGAACCAGAAATATTTTGAATGTACCCACTGTACAAAGCACTTACTTTCTGAAATACACAGAACATGAGACATTATTCATAACATTAGCTGCTGTAAACAGAGCAGCTGTTAACTATGTGCATGATTCTCCAAACTAGCACAGTGTCATTGCTAAAGATAACTACCTAAATATGGCACTTCTTCCTCAATGCAAAGCTACTTTCCCCTGTAGAATGAATAACGATGTGCAAATTCCACTCCCCCCAATCACTGGCCACCAACCCAAATTTTCCTCCCCCATCAATAAGACACTCAGAAATTGCTGTGGACCCTCTCACCAAATTCCTGGAGGATAGAAAACGTGAATATGCTAATAGTACCATTCTGCATATCGCCTGCAAAGCTAATGCCAGTCTTGTGTATAACAAAATCCATGCCACAAGTATGCAGCATGTGAACTGCTGCACCAGGCGCCTCTGCGTATTTAACAAACACCATATCTAAACAATATTACATCAAGGCTACAAATAAAGCTCTAACTTCTAACCAGCTATTTCCATTACAACCTAGACATGAGATCTGTATAGAAGCAGGCACAGTGAGATCTTACTTTTTACCCACATTATATACTACAGGTGCTGGACAGCAAGCAAGCTTCTCTCAGACACAAGGACTATGTCTACACTGGCAGGTTATTGTGCAAGAACGGCCGTTCTTCCACAGAGCGTCCACACTGCCCACCCGCTCTTGCGCAAGAAGATTTACAGGATGGAGTGGTAAGAGAGGGCTTATGTGCGCAAGAGCGATGCTCTTTTCTAACAGGTGTAAGCTCTCTTGCGCAAGAGGGCAGTGTGGATGCTCGGCAGGAATTTCTTGCGCAAGAAAGCCCTATGGTTAAAATGGCCATCGGCGCTTTCTTGCACAAGAGAGCATCCACATTGCCATGGATGCTCTTGTGCAAAAGCACAACTCGCACAGGGCAGTGTGGACGTTTTCTTGCGCAAGACTCCTTGCACAAGAAGTTCTTGAGCAATAACCCGCCAGTGTAGACATAGCCAAGGCCTCATACCATGACTTGATGACACTTATGAATTTTTGCACATACGTGTAATAAAAAACTGATCCGTAACAAGAGATAAGATGTTTTAGTTACATCATATTTAACATCTAGTAAATGATTGTTTACTCCAAAGAAAACAGAATAAAAATAAAAGCTATCTGTGAAAATTACAAGTGTTTGCCATCTTAATCTTTTTTAGTCTTACCCATTATATTTATACCGTTTATTATCATCATCATCATCTTTACATTAACCTCAGTAATTTATTATGCTACCATCTGGTAATCTGCAACCACAAGTTCCTGAAAAAACAAAAGGACAAGTGCCTTTTCAGCCATGGGAAGCCAGTTCTACTCCATGGAAGTATATTTTATCTTTTTCTAATAACTTACTCTTTTTATGTGAAGTAGATACTTGTACAGCACCTCACACCTATTAAAAGCATGCACTTGCATTCAAACATGTTTTGGGACCGGCTCTGTTCAATATCTTCATCAACGATTTAGATATTGGTGTAGAAAGTACGCTTATTAAGTTTGCAGATGATACCAAGCTGGGAGGGATTGCAACTAATCTGCAGGATAGGGTCATAATTCAAAATGACCTAGACAAATTGGAGAAATGGTTTGAGGTAAATAGGATGAAGTTTAATAAAGACAAATGCAACGTGCTCCACTTAGGAAGGAACAATCAGTTTCACACATCCAGAATGGGAAGCGACTGTCTGGGAAGGAGTATGGCAGAAAGGGATCTAGGGGTTATAGTGGACCACAAGTTGAATAGGAGTCAGCAGTGTGATGCCGTTGCAAAGAAAGCAAACATGATTCTGGGATGCATTAAGAGGTGTGTTGTGAGCAAGACATGAGAAGTCATTCTTCCACTCTACTCTGCGCTGGTTAGGCCTCAATTGGAGTATTGTGTTCAGTTCTGGGCACTGCATTTCAATAAAGATGTGGAAAAATTGGAGAGGGTCCAGAGAAGAGCAACAAGAATGATTAAAGGTCTAGAGAACATGACCTATGAGGGAAGGCTGAAGGAATTAGGTTTGTTTAGTTTAGAAAAGAGAAGATTGAGGGGGGACATGATAGCAGTTTTCAGATATCTAAAAGGGTGTCATAAGGAGGAGGGAGAAAACTTGTTCATCTTGGCCTCTGAGGATAGAAGCAGCAGCAATGGGCTTAAACTGCAGCAAGGGAGGTTTAGGTTGGACATTAGGAAAAAGTTCCCAATTGTCAGGGTAGTCAAACACTGGAATCAATTGCCCAGGGAGGTTGTGGAATCTCCATCTCTGGAGATATTTAAGAGTAGGTTAGATAAATGTCTATCAGGGATGGTCTAGACAGTATTTGGCCCTGCCATGAGGGCAGGGGACTGGACTCGATGACCTCTCAAGGTCCCTTCCAGTCCTAGTATTCTATGATTCATGCAAGCAGTAATACACTTGAGAGCCTGAAAGTGAAACAACAAAGGAATACTGAAATGAAAAAAAAATACAGCAATGATCAGATTTTTGCATGACTTTTTTTTTGGGGGGGGGGGGGGAAAATATGAGAGGGTTACGAGT